GGGGGGGGGGGAGGCGTTCCCAGGTTTGGTAGTTGGTACCTACCTAGACTATCCCTTTTTAGATTTGTTTTTGAGGTGGGGGGTCTGGTGTACATACTCGTCGTGCCCCTGTGCCAGCGAGTTTTTTTAATTTACCACGCAACGTGGTGCAGCGTGCCACGAGTTGCCTGCCGTGCAGGGGGATCATGTCCCTGTCCAACCCCTTATCCCATGGGTTGTTGAAGGACCTTGGCAAACTCTCGGAGTTGAAACAACGAGGACTGATTCTTGACCGTCACTTCGAGACGATAAAGGCACATGTGAAGGCGGGCAACTCCGTTGCGAAGGAGCGATGGGACGCAATCGAGAACGCATGGGGGCTGAAGCAGACGGGTGTCTTCAACGAAGAAGAGTGGATCACGCAGATTGATGGAGAGGCCCAAAGTATTACCAGCAGCACCCGTCCGTCGTTTTTAACGCCACAAGATGCGGGCGGCGCGCGAGGTGCACCGTCTTCGCACCCACCGCCTGCTACTGCTGCGGCTGCCGGGAAGAGAAAGGTCGCAGATCGGGGGAAGCAAGCCAGGGATCGAGCTGCCCAAGGTGTTCTAGGTGGCAACATCATCAACGCGTTCGCTCGTGGCAGCGGAAAACCGGTGAGTTCAGTCATCTGACGAACTCTGTTGCTGTGATGATGTACATATATACAGCAGTCGTACGGCGGTCCAGCAGCTGTATGTAGTGTAAATACAGCAGGAGTGCTACTGCTGCTGCTGTTGTTTAAAAAAAAACGCGGTGGTGATGAAATGAAAAAGACGAGAGAAAAACTACTCTGTCACAGGTTGGTGTAAACGACTGACTTTCAGCATGGCGTACATGTATGTGTACAACTTTTTCAAACATTCTCCGTTTGCCTCAAGTTCTTGAGGAAGGCAAGGACGGTACAGTAGACACAATGGCGAAAAAGAACGCGTACACGAGCGCCGTCCCAACCGTATTTTGTATTTTTTTTTTGCTGCACCGTGATACAAACACACGAGAGACGGTCATGTAATCATCCCTTGCCCCATCTGCATAGATAGATATATTTTGCCATCGACATCCACGCAATTTCAGGTCCACAGCTCGTTGAATCACCTGCACCTCAATTCCGCCCTTCTCCTACCGCGCCGTGCAGATTGAGCGGACTCGCGGTGGTGTCACAGAGCATGTGTCCGGTATCAACTTCCCACCTCCGGCCCCGGAGCGGCGCATACCGTGCCCTCACTGTCCCATGACCTTCGTGAACGAGCAAGGACTTGGGATCCACGTGAAAACACAGCACAGCAATGCAAACATGTCCAACGGCTTGCGGCTGCAGCGGATGCTAGGGAAGACTCCCAAAGGGTATGTTCAGCCGTGGGGAGAAGCCGGGCCTGGACGTTGTTGGCACGTGAAGGTCGATGGTGCGACGGGGGCGGCTTCGTTCGTCCTCCAACGGAAGCGCTTCCGCGATCTCGACTTGGAAAGCGACGGCTTTACGGACCGCAAAGTCAAGGAGACTCGTGGAGCTGTGAAGCGCAAGCGATACGATTTCAGGTTCAAAGCCCATGTTGTGACCCAGCTGCGCCTCCTCCAGGAAGACGCCGCAGACCTCTTCAAGGAGGAGCAGCTCACGCCTCTCCAGTACTTAGAGGACCGTCTCAAGGTTAACTACAGCCTGATCGTGAAGTGGGCTCAGGACGAGGCCAATATAGTCCAATCGGCAGCAGATGACGTGAAGAAGACCCTCCTTGCCAAACAGCAGCCAAAGCGGTGGTTTCCTGAGGAAGAGAAGAAGCTGTACAATATGTTCTTGGCGCGGCGGAGGAGGAAGCTGAAGGTGTCGACCCTGTGGCTGACGGTCACGTTCCGGAAGCTCGTGCAAGAGAATCACCCTGAGGACCAACGGGCGGCGGCGTTCAGCGCGTCCTTCAGGTGGGCACGAAAATGGGCAAAGAGGCATAAGCTGTCCAAACGGCGCAGGAGCAACCTCAAGAACAAGTCTGTTGAAGAGCGCCTACCAAAGATCCAGCGCTTCCACCGGCGGTTTCGCAAGCTCCTGCAAGAGCCGGTACGGTACAGGGCACCCGAGGCATCGGACGTGTCGGCGATGTCGACGGTCGCGGAGGGAGAGTCCAGAGATCCCAAGTACGGTCAGTTCCAGCTCTGGGAGCGTTGGAATGTGGATCAAGTGCCTTTGCCATTCGTGAACGGGCTGATCAGCACGTGGGAGAAGACAGGCGCGTTGCGTGTAGCCATCTCGCAGCCCTTTGCTGGCCTAGAGAAAAGGCAGTGCACCATGCAAGTCATCTTTGGTCCGGGTGAGAAGACTATGCGGATTTCGGTGATTTTCCGAGGCCAGGGGAAGCGGATTTCGCCGGTGGAGAAAGCCGCGTACCACAAGGACGTGGACGTGTTTTTCCAGGAGAATGCGTGGGCGGACCAAAAGTTCTGCATGGAGTGGGCCAAGAGGTCGTACCGCGAAGGCCTGATCCGCGGGCGGGGTGAGCTCCCCAAGGCGAGGTCCATTCTGATAATGGACAACTTGCACGCGCAGACCACGGACGAGTTCAAGGGGTATCTTGCGAAGCAGTGCAACACTATCGCCTGGCTTGGCCCTGCGGAGTGCACGGACGAGGTGCAGCCAGTTGATGCAGGAGCCGGACGATTTCTCAAGGTGGAAGTTGGTAACGAGATGGACAAGTGGCTCGATCAGTCGGACAACATCGAGAGGTGGGAAACCGCGTCGCTGACAGCATCTGACCGGCGCGTACTGATCACTCAATGGACGGGAGCGGCCATGGCAAAACTCAACAGCAATCAGGGGTACCGACACCGCCTTTTCGAAAAGTGCGGGATGGCGATGACCGTGGACGGCTCAGGCGATGATCGAATCACCTTGGAGGGTTTGGACCAGCCGTACACCTTCGCAAACGATGAAGACTCCAGCGAGAACGAAGGAGGTTCGGAGGACGGCAGCGATGGGCCCGAGGGGCGGGAGGAGGAGGGCGCCGGAAGGCGCGAGCCGGTCGTCGGGGATGAGCGCAACGGTGCCAACAGCGGGGAGGGCATGGAGGGCGCTGGATACAGCGATGAAGACGACGACAGTAAGTTTGATTGGCACTACATAGACTACAGTTAATTCATTGTCCTTTTTGTTCATCTTTTCTTGTGCTGTTTGGGATATTGCTGATATTCTGTTTCCGCGTCACGTCTACGAACAAATGGTGTGTTCACTTCAGTTGAGTAACGGCGATGACACCCGTACGTTCCTTCTCGTGTTTCACGGTACCCTTCGTCGCAGACATGTCTCAATCCCAGACCGACGAGCTAGCTCTTTTGGACGAGGACGACAGCATGGACCCAGACGACCCGGAGGACGAGACGCAGGGAATGGAGATCCCGGCGGGCTTTCGCCTTCAAGAATCTACCCCCGCTGCTCTTGACAGATTGCTTTTGCAACGTGGAGTGCTTGTTCGGCTGGGCATGGGGTGGTTCGGTGGGTTGATCATTCAGCAATCTCCGCAGCGCCACCTGTACGACTACTGTGTGCAGCTGGAAGTAGACCACAGTACGCGCAATATGAAGCTGCCCTTAGACAAGTACAGCGGAGATCCGGACGCAGCGGTAGGCTCATGGGTTTTGCTTGAGAGCGTCAGTAGGGCGGGAAGGGTACGCACCCCCAACGTCACTCTTGTGGACCAAGACGGTTGACAGTTGCCCCATGGGGGGGTGTTTGCGGGTATGAAACTCTGCGTCGAGTGCAGTTGAGTAGTGCACCAATTGAGCAATCGATGATGAAATAAGAACAAGAACACCGTTTCTGGAGACAACTGGACGACGAAATAAGAACCTGGCAAATAAGAACTTGTGCTCGGCTTGGGGCAGCCAACAAGAAGCGAGCCTCGCTCCAAATAAGAGGTTCTTAAGTGCGGGCCGGTTCTGTATTACAACAACATCGACGACAGCAGCAGATCGTCACTCGCGCTGCATGTGCCCCCCAGCCGTTGGCAAAAGCCAGACAGAGTGCCTGGTTTTGCAGCGCATTGCCGCTACCAAACCACCACCACAGCGGTCCCCCACGGCACGTGTCAAGCTGAGCCACCTGCCATGGCTGTCAGTTCAACTAGGAGCGCCAAGCGTGCCCATAGCCTGGCCTCTGTCACGAAAAGGGTGTCGAGCCTTTTGGATGCACTGGCCATTTTGGGCAACCTCTCAGCGCTCGATGCTCCGACGAAGAGGAACCGCAGCACCCTGGTCGCGCGAGAGAGGCGGCCTTTCGAGACGCACATCAAGCCGCTGCTGCAAGACCACACGTTCTCGGTGCGCTTTCGCATGGAGTACGATGACTTCAGGGTTCTAATAGATCACCTGCGACCTGCCCTGCATAAGAACGAGAAGATGGGGCTGCTGCGCATCGGCGCCATCCCGGTGGAGTACCAGATCGCGATGACGTTGAGATGGCTCGCGGGGGGGTCCATCTACGAGTGCATGGACGGCCATGTCATCGCGAGGAGTACGGCATACCACGTAACGTCGACCGTGATCAACGCCCTGAATGCCTGTCCGGAGTTGAACTGCAAGTGGCCAGAGGGTGAAAAGGCAGCCAGAGCCGCCGAGCTTTTCCGCAAACGCAGCTCGTATGGATGTCGTCCGGAAGTGCGTGGGAGCCATGGATGGCTTGTTTGTCCGGATGATCAAGCCGAGCGCGAAGGAGGTCGCAGAGCCCAACTTGTATTACAACGGGCACAGGAAAGGCGTTGTCGTGGGCGACGCCGCCTATGGGGCGTCCGAGCGCGTCGTCGTTCCGTTCCCGGGGACGAGCCTCTCCGCAAGCCAAGACGCGTGCAACAACTACGTGTCTCAGTACCGGATGGCAATCGAGCAGACCTACGGCATTCTGGTGAGCGTTGTGGGCATGGCAAAAGTTGTAGGTGAGTCCGCGCATGCAATTGGGTGAGTTGGCGTCCTGATGTTAGAGGCAACTCGTGGTAAAGATCCTCGCGATGGGGGAGTACGTGATGTCTGGTGCGATGTTGTCACAGAGCGCGGCGCATCCGTGCCACATCTTTTCATTTTGATGTGGGCAACGCATATTCATGGAGCAACCGGTGAAGTGCATATGGACCCTACAGCAGTACTACATGTAGCGTATTTTTTGTTATACCCCTTGTGTGCATGTTGTTTTGTGTTCGACCCTCCTTCCTACGCGCGGCGCTAGGCAGCTAGGGAGAGACTGAAACCAAGTAGGACAGGTGCACACGTGCATTGCTGCTGGGATAGTTGAACCGGAAGGGAGGGACAAGGAGGCAGGCCGCCTGAATTTTGAGTTTGGGCTCTGAGTTTGCCAAGATGGTACGTTTTTCCCCTTTGGTCTTGGTTTGCAATGACGGCCTACAGGTCAGGAGATGGGGCATCCTCTGGCGCCCCATGGAGGTTCGCATCGAGAAGTTCGAGCACGTGGTGAACGCCGTCGTTCGCCTGCATAACTTCTGTCAGGATCGAAAGGTGGACGTCCCCACGGAGAACACGGGGTCTGCGATTCCTCCGCCCTAGGTCGCTTTTGACGACGACGGCCTCATCAGCAGCGACTACTTCGAGACCGTTCCAGTGCGTACTGGGCGCCCGGTGAAGGACCAGGCTAAGGCGTCGAAGCCGAGGGAGGCCATCCGCAAGGAGCTGGAGGTGGCCGGCTTGATTAGGCCAGAGCACAACATCGCCAGGAGCCACAACCGTGCAAGTTAGAGTGCTGTCGGAACCTTAAACTTGGCAGGGAGGGGAGGTCGAGGGCGAGAGCGGGAGTGGGGGGCAAGAGCGGGGTCGGGACCGGCGGCCGACGTGGGGTGTGTGTATCACGGGGATCTGAGTGAGGGTCATGTGCGGTGGTGTGTGTGTGTGTGTGTGTGTTGTGTTGTGTTGTGTTGTGTTGTGTTGTGTTGAGTTGTGTTGTGCATGTGTGTTTTACCCTGTGGTTTTAAGGCGGCATTGTTTGGTGGGCGTTTCTTCATCTTGCGTTTCTTTTTTTTTCTACGTGCTGGGTTAGGATCCGACTAACACGTCCTCCCGCCATCGAAGGTGTTTTTTGTCGAAGCGGTCTACGTCGTATTCGCGGCCCATTATTGTAGTGCCTTTGGGCGTTCGGCATGGGACTACATAGCTGTCACCGTAGACTGTTTCCTCGCCAAGGTTCGCTTCTGATTGAAACTGCCTTTTGGGAAGTATACGTGATTGTGAAACTGTGGGTCGGGGCCAACGTGCCATTGAACTAGCTGGCGCTTGTTTTATTGAGGATGATGTTGCCTACGAGAGAACGTTTGAGGACGACCGTAAAAGCACTATTGGTGATTTACGAGCGTGAGCGACAAGCTCTGAAGCTCTCCCGGTGGGGGGTTCGGTCCTCGCGCACGCCCCCATGTGGTTGCATCTGTGTAACCACGCCACTCTTGCCGTTGCCCTGGTGCATTCCTCGTACAGCAGTACTGGGCGATCAGAATCGGCTTAGACAACGGTACAAGCAATCCCACGGAAAAAGCTGCTTCCCCAACAAACAGGGCAACCTCCAACAGAGCCGCACTGTCCCACTTCCATGCTATTCTCGGACATCAAATCTCTCCGGTGTCCGTACAAAAAAAAACACACACACACACACGCTAAGAACAGCCTCTCACAGGACCTTTCCACCCAGCAGAGCACAAGCAAGGTCTCGGTGACAATATATTTGCTGTCATTTTGACGCATCCGTCATTCTAAAACAACATGTCACGGTGTTGGACGTCTGGAATAGATATGAGGATCCGCAGAACCTTGAACCAAACATGAGAACAACCAAACAAATGTCCTCCTTCGAGGGAAAACCGGACGTGCGTGAAAGCATCGCAATGCCCCGTCATAATGCTGTAGCTCCACTTCTTGCTGTTTAGCCAAATCTGAAGGGGTCGGAGGGAGTTACAATATTTCCGGAAACACTCCGAATATTTCATCACGTGTGCGATATCCTCGCCAAAAGGGGGAAGGAGTCTCGTCGCTTGCCGCGTCAAGAATCGTTGCACCTCAAACTCATAAAAACAACATGCATCACCTCCCAATGCCATGGTTGACAGGAGTACGCGGGCCTTATGAAATCAATCTGAACAAAATCATGTGTGGTTGTCCGACGAGCCATGTGGGTTGTTCAACACTTGGCGAGGTCAACAGCAGTCACAAAAAGGCCTCTTTTTTCGTGCCCACGTACAGCAGTAGTTTCCACCCACCCCAGACATATAAAAAAAAATTGGTCGGAAAAGCCAAGTCCTTTGTTCCCCCGGGGAACAACTATTTAACTGGGAACAAATTACTGTATCTAGTAGCTACGGAGCAACTTCCAAGCGAAGTGACTCTTCGCCATATCCGGGCAGGTATTGCCCCCCAAGATTTCTTGCTCTGGTACATCCCTCTCCACAAACAGAAAATGAGTAGATAATGAAAAGTAACTGGGGTTGGCGCGTGGTGTTGCGTTTACTGAACGGTTTACCCCCGCGCAATCCCCATGCCGGGGGACGCCTTTGCGTAGAACACAGATCAAGAACTCCCCCCACGTTTGAAACTTCAAAAACACAGCATCCCTCACGGCTCGGGGAGCATTCAACATGTGCGCTCACGTTTTGTTCTTGTCCTGCTGTTGCCGCTCACTCCGAAACACACACGCCCCACAGCCCCTGCGCCCCCGTGTGGACTGTTACAGCAGCACCCGCGCAATCGCCCGCAGGTTTCCAGTCAGGGTGCTCCCACCAAAGACTGTATCCCCCCCACCATCCATCCTCGCCTCTCGCCCGCGCAACCAGTACTCACCCCCGTCGCCTGTACGCGCCAAGGCCCGTGCCATCGCCGGCAAATCATCCACGGGCGTGCGCCCCGGAAGCCCATGGAGATCCTACATCACATGGACCGTTCCTCCTTCGACCGCTGCAGGCGTAGATGGCGCAGCAGGACTCGATAACGGTGGGGGCGCGGCTGCGGCGCTCGATGATGCCATAGCCGCCTCGTCGCTGCTCTGCTCAGCCCGTGCCACTCGCGCTTCAGCGGCATCCAACAATTTCTGATATTTCTCCCGCAAAAAGTCCGATGATGCAGAATCGACCTTTGCTTGGAGCCTCTGAACATCGTCGATGAATCCCTCCATGGCAAGGTCCTTCGCTCGGTCCTTCTCTATATCACCGAAAGCAGGTTCGTCTCCCCGTACTTCCTGCTCCGCTACTTTGCGCCACAAGGCGATCACTTGCTTCGTGTCGGCTACCAGCTCCGCCCTGTCATCGGAACCCGTCTTGGGTNCGTATTTCTCCCGCAAAAGTTCGATGATGCAGAATCGACCTTTCACTTGGAGCCTCTGATCATCGTCGATGAATCCCTCCATGGCAAGGTCCTTCGCTCGGTCCTTCTCTATATCACCGAAAGCAGGTTCGTCTCCCCGTACTTCCTGCTCCGCTACTTTGCGCCACAAGGCGATCACTTGCTTCGTGTCGGCTACCAGCTCCGCCCTGTCATCGGAACCCGTCTTGGGTTTCTTTTGCTTCCGAGAGTTGTTGTTGCCAGAGGAACGGGCGGGTGTCGCCTCACCTCTTCCTCGGACCCCGGGTCCACCCGGAACGCTGCTGCCTGAGCCTGGGTGTCCATCGGGGAGGACGATATCGCCGGGGCGGTATGTCTCGTCGTCGCCTCCGCCGGAGAGCTCGATACCGTCCTCCCAGAGCATTGTCGGTAAAGAGCCCCGCATAAACTGGAACGGATGACCGGCGTTGACGAATCCCCCGTCCTGAGTTGCGTCCGCACCGGCCCCACCACTTCTTTGCTCGTTCTGCTTGAATTTCTGATGTGCCACGGAGAGCGAAGAAACGGTCCACGTTCGTCGGAAATGGGACGGGAACAAAGCCGTGAGTCTTGAGTGGTGAAATCTGATGTCGCTAACAATATTTTCTGCATTCCACGTGGTACTTGTGTTGGGGCGTCAACGGAAAAAGGGAACGACATAAACACAATGGCGCAAGGCAGGAAGGGAAAAAAAACGTGTTTCACCCAACAAAAACTGGGGCGAGAAGCGCACCCCACGATCATACTGTAGGTTGAGGCCGCGAGGGCCCACAGCTTAAACCCAACAGAAAAAGAAACACACACACACAACGAACGAAGTTCATCACGGGAATATAAAGGCAACCCGTCTACAGTGATGGTTACATCGACCTCACACCTCGCCAAATTTCTACCTTTGACTGTTGATGCACGCACAGATATCCCAAGACGAGCAGAGCAGACCGACCACGTACGAAGACGTCCTGCATCCTGTGTAGCCACGGCACGACAACGCTGCCACCTGCAGAATGAAAACTAGAACACCGCTTCACTCACCGTGTGCTTGCCAACCGTTCGAAAACAACAGATGGTCGATTTCATCATGTCCATCACTCATGCGAAATAAAACACGATGCTCCCGCCACCATCACCACCACCGACGCAAGCAACATCAAAACTCCCGCGGCAGCAGCAGCCGCGCCATGAGCAACACCAGAAGCGTTTGGAGGACAGCGATATCCTGTTTTGTTCCCATCCTTCCTAAGAGTCGACGCGCATATTGATTGACTTTCCTACGAGAGGTCGACTTCCAACGATGCGCCATGTGGAAACTGGTTGTGGGTACAGGCGGAGTCTCGTGGCCGTGGACGATAGAGGGCAAAAAATACCGTGTCGCATGATGTATTGATCATGGTTTTTTTTATCGCGTCACGGAACGTGTCCACGTACTGTACATGGGGAATATGCACTAGAGCAATCATTCTCGAATGGAGTGCTGCTTGCTGCTGCTGCTGCTGCTGCTGCTGCTGCCGTGTAGACGGACAATGCATAGTCTATGTCATGCTCTGTACTCTACTAATGCGGTACTGGTAGCTCTGAAGAACCACCTCGTGGACCGATGCCAGAAAAAACAATAACAAGCTTTGCAACAACAGCTTACCTCAGTGTTGCCACCTTCTTCGCCGACCGCAGAAGGGTGCTGCCACGTAGGTTGTCGATCGTTCCCACAAGCCATGAAAGCCTGAGACAAAGCGCGCCCGCTCATCAGGCTGCGGGTAGCCCAAGACAAACCGACTGCCTGCTGCTGCCGTTGGTCGTCCACATCAACAGGAGAGCTGTCTGAATCTTCCCCATGTTAATCATCATCACAACCAGCCTCCGACGGATATTGAGCGGCTCGCGCTAACCCCGCGTTGAAGCGGTCAACGTCCTCGACACCAGCGCTCCGCTTGCTGCCGTTCTCAGCAGCTGCCTCGCCTTCTGCGGGCGGCAGCAGCCTCGCCCCCGTCTGGGCTCCAGAAAGCCGGCCGACGCGCTGGCCCCTTCCCGTTGCGCAATTTTCGGCCCTGGCCGTCTTTAGCATGTCATCTGCCATACTACGCGTGCTCGCCGTATGTGATCGTGTGTGTCTCGACAACAGTCGCAGAGAGAGCAACTAGCGCTGTGTGGTTGCCAGCTAAGTAGGTGGAGCGTTGCCGAAGCCTTCCATGCGTTGAGACTCCAAAAGAAATTTTCTGGACACGGACAAAACAAGTCCCTGGGGACTTTCGCCGCGATGTTCAGATTTTTCGGTAATTCAAAATCGCCGTTTACCGGCTTCCGGGCCTCTGGACCAATCAGAGCCCAATTTTGATTTTTGATTTTCTGGAAACAGATTTTTCCGATTCCTGTAAGACAGGCCCGTACATCTGTGCTGTGTTTCTATTTTTCATGTCCTCCCTGCGTACTCTGTTGTGTTGGGTACCTTGATCTCGCTTTTGCTGTTGCTTTTGTTTTCGTACATCTGGCTGTCTGCCCATCTGCCGCCTCTTTGTCCTGTTTGCTCCGTTACTCCCATGCCCTGGTGCTGGTACGTCACCCTTTGATTTTATCTTTAGGCAGGTGTGGGAAGCGTCCTCCTGTATTTTTGTTTTTGCTATATTTTGATCGGTTTCGGAGGGCTCGTTTCTCGAACGGTCGGTGCGTACCTGTTGTTTTCTTTTTATCATTTTGTTTTCTTTTTCCGAGTGGTTTGTCAAACACACACACACCCTATTTTTGTTTTGTTCCCCGGCGGCGTCGCATGTGCCGGATTTTGAGACCACGGGCTCCCCATTTTTTGTGGACAGATTTCAGCTAACAGTGTCGTTGTGACGGGATATTTTTTTTAATTGCTGCCCGGGGACACGTTTCGCCAAAAATCAGAACGCCTTGCGAACCATCACCAAACAATAGGGCCACACCACACGCCTCGATATGGCACTTTGTTGTTGGTAGATATCTCAACGCATAGAGCTTGAATCCCAGGTGCCACTTCGAGGGTGCCAGCTGTGTAGGTGCGAGACACAAGGATTGCTCATTGTGACAGTAGCCGAACCGCTGTCGTCAATTGATGCCAGGCCCCAAACATCTCTCCACTCTGTCTCGCTATCGTTTTCTCTGTTTTTTTTCCTTCCCCCGGTGTTCGCCATCGGGGTTGGGTTTTCGTCACTTGGCAACGACGTTGTAAAACAAGCCGCCCCCCCGGTGTTTGCCATCGGGATTGGGTTCGCTTGGCAACGACGTCGTAAAACAAGCCAATTCACTTCGTGAACTCGGCAACCAGGTTACCGTGTTTTTTTTTACCTCCGGTTTTTTTTTGGCGGTAACCATAATGAATGGCGGTCGAGTAGATCATATTGTGCGGGGTGGAGAATCCTCACTCTGCGCAAGGGGGATGATCGCACCACGNCCCCCCCCCCCCCCCCCCCTGGGGCTGCGAAACCCCTTTCGATGTCTCTGCATCGCGGAGCCCCTGGAGAAGATCCTCCTTGGTAAACAGATGATCATCTGTATTGAGGATGGTCCTTTCTTGTGAGGATGAACAACGCATACGTTTGTCTGCCAGAAGTCCGAAAACATTCTATCCCGTGTAATGTTTTCGGGTCGTGGGGATCACCTTCGCGGCATGTTAGAAGTACTGCCCCCTCTCGAACGAAGTTCATATCCCGTTTGTTTGCGTATTCAATGCAAATGGTATGAAGATTAGGGCCTTTTCCATGCTGTTACAGTACACGAGTTCGTTGCGAGACACTGATTGAAAAACCACCGACGCTTGCCTGGAGAAGGTACTACCACCGCCTGTATTTCCGTCTAAAGTAAGTACAGAGCTCAATCGTCTCCTTGATACCAGCTCTCGTCGTTGTCGTCGCTTCTGTCGTCGCTTGCCTCTCCTCTCTCTTCCCCCCTTCTCCCCCTTCGTCGTCCATGGAATCACCTCCTTCGCCCGCTCCCACCCTTCGACTTTTCTCCTTCTCTCGACCCGCGCGCGAGAAGGGGCTTCTGCGCTTTCGACCGGTCGTGGGTGAGGAGTCCGACTCCGAATCACGCACTTCAAAGCCTTGGGAACGCACTACAACCAGCCCCGGGAGGAAGCTGAATGATGATCTCGGATCTATCTTGGACCGAGGTCGAAATACTCTGTCCAGCTGGCAGACGCACAGCAGCGACGTTCGTACGCTCGGCAGCGCCCCGGCCGATGCAAGGCGCACCGGATTCACAAAGCGCAACCGCGCACAACCGGTAGCGACGGCGTACAGATAACACGCGCTCACTGTGACTAGATAAAGGGAGACAAATAAATAAGAATAAAAAATGATATATAGGGCCTAGAAGGACGGACGCACTCACCAAGTGCATCGCAAAACCGCACAACAACGCGCGGCGGGGCGCACATACCAGGCGCACAGCTAACAACAGCCGAGAAAATGGAGGGATAAAAGGGAGGCAAACGTTAAAATGAGTTACAAGATGAACAACAACGCCCTGTGCGCGGCGTACGAGTTGCCCCGTACGCACCCAGCGTACTTCAGAAAACGCTTGAAGAGGGACAAAGAGCACAGAAGGAAAGTCAACATGCCGCGAAAGGCGCAGAAACTGTAACCGCAGCTTGCAGCGAAAGGTGCAACCGGGTCCGAGGGGAAGTCAACACAAAGCGACCGACGCAAAAGGCGCCACCTGGTCAGAGCCAAATACAGGAGGCAATCCAAGGAGCAAAAGGAAGGCAGCAGAGCGCCGAGCGGCGCAGAGAACAGCGGAAAGGAAGGTTAGCACATTGCGATCGGCGCACAAAACGCAACCGGCTCAGGGCCACAGGGCTCGAAAAAGGCAGAACCGGAAGCAAAAGGTAGAACAGGTACGGGAGAGAGTGAGGACAAAAACGAAAGGTCTTACTTGGCAATTTTGGCCTATGAGCGAGAATTGTGTGGCGACAACATTCAGACGTGCTGCTTGTAAATTAAAGAAATAAAGGTAACATGTTGCTGCAAGGACGCAGATGACAAATGTGCAAAACTATTAAGTCTAAGAATCGGTTAGTGAAAATTTGTGTAGCGCAGTAGGTGTCAGCTTAATGATCTCATCCTGGTCGGGTAGCATTTGCAACGTTCGCCAAGTGGAGGGAGAAGTGACGACGGACAAAGGACATAAACGGAGGGATTATCGTAAGGTCAGGGCAGTAACCAGCCACGGGATACGCGTACAGCAACCGGTTACCCACTGGACATCCCTTGAACTTGAGACCGATCAAAAGTAACACCGAAGAAGGAGGGAGAAACCGATAACAGTACAAAAGAAAAAAATACTTCGAAGTACATATATGTCATTCAATACCTAACAAGTGAAGGAAAAAAAGGAATAGAATACGGGGTCGCGCCGCCTTCCCCAGTCACTGGAACGATCCGTGTGTGAATCCTGCCCACGCTGGCCAGTCCTCGCGAGTACCATCTGCTGGAATGGCGACCTCACGAACCGCAAGATGCCAGCGAGAACCCCTCGTTGGTTCTCCCTCGCCTCACCGCCCGCCGGCCGATGAGAAGCGTTTCGGCGACCCAAAACAATTCGGTGTCGAGGCCGCTGCGGCGAAATACGCGTGCTCGGAGATAAGGACACTCGAGGCCGCTGCTGAGGTCGGTCCGGAACACCCCCATCGAGCGACGCTGACCTCCTCCTCCTCCGGAGGATACCTGACAGCTCGGCTGTACCCTCAGCGCGTCGAGGTGAAGGCGAGAGATGTCGGGGTCGCGACCGGGGCCGCGAGGACGCGGACCCGGAGGACCCTGAGCGTCGTCGGCTTGATCCTGTCATGCGCGGCGGGGATGCGCTCGACATGTGTGGTCCGCTGGCCAACTGTCGCGTAGAAGCCCCTGTGTCTTCCCCTGCTGTGCCCCTGCGGACGTTTCCGGCTCTATCGGCCGTCTCTAATGCCGACTCCTGTTGCAACCCCCCCACCCGGCAAAGTGCTCGACATCCGTCGTCCTCTCGCGTGGCAAGCTGCCACGCTGGAACAGTCCGATGCAGGCCCCGCCCTGCCGACTGAGAGCCCTGAGGCAAAGACCTCTCGGTAGCGCAGCTTCCGTTGTTTGCACGTCCGGCAAGCTGCCACGCCGGGACAGTCCGATGCAGGCCCCTCCCCGCCGATTGAGAGCTTGGAGGTAAAGACCTCTCGGCGGGTGCCACAACCAAGCCCCGCAAACAGGAGGGGCTGTTCGCCCCCGCCTCGCCATCTCGCCGCCCGCTGCCGCTCCTCACGCTTCCGCTTGACGCGGATACGGCGTGCCGCTGCAGCCCACCGAACTGGCAATTGGTGCTGGTACCGCCGAGTCCCCGTGCGACCAGCCAAGCCGGCATAGTCATTGCGATGCCGCGTCCCTGCGACCGAGAGCCCGGCAAACGTTGGGAGACACCACCAGGGCTTGTGAACGCCTGGACAATATGGTGATGTGGGTCCTAGAGGCAANGTTCGCCCCCGCCTCGCCATCTCGCCGCCCGCTGCCGCTCCTCACGCTTCCGCTTGACGCGGATACGGCGTGCCGCTGCAGCCCACCGAACTGGCAATTGGTGCTGGTACCGCCGAGTCCCCGTGCGACCAGCCAAGCCGGCATAGTCATTGCGATGCCGCGTCCCTGCGACCGAGAGCCCGGCAAACGTCGTGGGGCCCCAACCGATGGNCCCAGGCGCGCCTGTCGACAGGAGCCGGAGGACTAGGATTACCAGCAGCCGTTATGCGAAGGTTCTCTCTTCTCTGGGCAACCTAGTTGGCACCCTTCCTGCGGTTATAGCCGCGTTACGGGGTTCATTGGGAGAGTCGGTGAGAGTTCGGATACCGGGAAAGGTGTTGGTGGAGCGGATGGGGGACGCTATCAAAGAACTGAACCAGGAGCATGGAGTATCGGTGGAGATTCTGAAGGGGATCCTTCCCCCGTCATGGGTTGAGTGGGCCTTAGAACCGCCAGGAGAAACCGGAAGGCGTCAGCCCACCGTTGCAGAACTGGCAGCACACGATGGGGAATCTACTACGCCGAGGAAAGCCCAGCACAAACTGGGCAAGGCGATTAACAAGATACAACTTGAAAAGTTCATGGAATCTCTGGAGCACCTCCCCCAGGAGGCGGTACCACCCACGCGGGACAACCCCTACGGAGGTCAAGAGGCCAGGAACATGGCATACGCACGAACGAGAAGCTCGCAAGGGCAAGGGGGGCACGCGTTCCTGAGAGCGGCTCCCACCGACCGAGCTCGAGAGATTCCATCGAACGAATTCGTCTACGCGACGAGACGGGCCTTGGGAGTTGAAGGACTTGGCGGAAAGATGTCCCAGGTGCCACAGAGGCAGGGAAGGCGAGATCATCACAACGGTGCACGCAAGGACCTGTCCAAGGGATGGAGCACAGGTCAACATGCACGAGCACTCAACGGCCTTGGCGTCAAACACGACGTTGAAAGCGGGGCACCGTTCACGGGGGCAAGAAACCTGAGCATGGACATCGTCATCAGGCCAGGAGCCCTCACGAACGCATCTTCTCCGGGGTACCGCAACAAAGGAATACTCCTCGATGTCACACACGCAGACCCGCAAGCACAGGTACACTTGCGGAACGGCAGCGCGACCAGCGATGGAATCGCAGCCCAAGCATCCGAGGCGCGAAAGCGTCAGCACTACGCTCGTCCGGGACACGTGTCCTTTGACGAACGCAGCTTTAAACTTACCACCTTAGCCGTGGAAAGCTTTGGCCGCCTTGGAGAGGAGGGTTACGAGTTCATCGATGAACTTGCGACACATGCCGTGGGAGGAAGGGACGGAGGAACGATGGCTCTGAAAGGAGTCTTCAAGGAACGACTTCTTCAGATCGTTTCGGTGGCTACACAGGTGGCCATATCTCGGCGAGTGCAGAGGTACAAGCTCGCATTGCGCGGGCATCAAGACGCCGAAAACAGGCGAACAAGATCGACCTCGGACCAGTCAACGCCAATGATATGGGGATGGAGTGTAGACGCATCGTAGAACGCGTTTTCGTTTGAAGTTGGCGTCTTGTTTGAGAGTAGATGTGACAGATTTGCGTAGAATAGGGTAAGATGTTATCATGCACGGAGAAGAAAGGGCTTTTCCAACACGTAGATGTAGCTAGCATGGATCAAAGCATTTGTTGGATTTCAGCTTTTACAAGAGGACANGGAGATGTAGCATGGATCAAAGCATTTGTTGGATTTCAGCTTTTACAAGCGGACATCAACGCAGTAGTATTTTAGCAAGCTTACGAACGCATATAGGATACCATCAGGATTGTCATTGGTAAGTTGAAGAGGAGATACTTTTACGATGTAAATGACAGTAGAAATAAGTCCTACATATGTTGTTGTACTTCGTATTGGTTTAATATTCATGTAGAGTATGAGACATTAAGTGAAAGCTTTTTGAGGTACATCTGCAATTGTCGGAAGGCAAAAAAAATAAAAAATATAAGATATTAATAAGAACAATAACAAAGGCCGAAAATAAAATACAAAGTAGATAATAAAAGAAGGAAAAAAGAGTGGCTTCCAATCCGAGAATCGAACTCGGGTTTCCACAGCAAGAAAAGAACAAAAAAAACAAATAATAATAATAAAGGAGACGCATGTATCGGAATTAACCTACCTGGTGCAAATGTACAACTTCATCAACTCCGCCTGTTTATCGTACAACGCGTGTCAAAAAAAACACGGAGTCTTCAGACGGAATATTGATAGATGTAACGAGTTATACACGCGGCGGGAAGGTTGCTGTTTTTTTTGCTTTTTGCTGAAAGTGCTTTGAATGTACATCGTTCTGAGCGGTTTGCGGTGTAGAACACCCAACCTGCCACATCAGTTAGGTTCGGGTGAGCCACATACCTCATAGACTATATGCACGCTGCCGGTTGTTGTTTGTCGGCCGTACTCCGCGTACTTATCGGGACTTGTTTGTGTAGTGTATTAAC